CGGGTTTACTAATAATGGCACAGAGTTCAAGAACAGGGAGGTTACGTTAAGTATAAGGCACTGATTAAACTTCAGCTGGAAAAGTATGTACAGTTCTGGGCATTGCACTTAAGGAAGGACATGAATGCATTGAGGACAGTGCAAAAAAAGCTTACAAAAATGGTTGCAGGGATGAGAAATTTCAGTTACAAACATTGGTGAAGTTGGATCAGAGATAGTAGGAACTGCAGATGCTGGAGAATCCGCGACAACAAGGTGCAGAGCTGGATGAACACAGCAGGCCAAGCAGCATCATAGGAGCAGAAAGGCTGATGTTTCGGGCCTAGAGCCTTCCAGAAAAGCTTTTCTGATGAAGGGTCTAGGCCCGAAACGTCAGCCTTTCTGCTCCTATGATGCTGCTTGGCCTGCTGTGTTCATCCAGCTCTGCACCTTGTTGTCATTGGTGAAGTTGGGATCATTTTCCATGGAAAGGAGAAGGCTAAGAGTAAATTTGATAATGTTCTCAAAACTATGAGATACCTGAACAGAGTAAACAGGGAGAACTTGTCCCTACTCAAATGGATAAAGAATATTGGGAACATATTTTAAAGATATTTACAAAAAAAGTAAATTTGATGTGAGAAGAAACTTTTTCATGCAGTGAGTGGTTCAAATCTGGAATGCACTGCCTGGAAGTCTAGTGGAGGGAGTTTCAATTGAGGTGTCCAAAGAAACATTGAATGTGTGCTGTGCAGGGTTTCAAGAAAAGGGCGGGAGAATGCCCGTTTGGAGAGCTGGTATGCGCACAATGGGCCAAATGGCCTCCCACACCATAATAATTCAGTTGTTTGGTGAAAATATAAAATGCTGAGAAATAATCAGATCAGGCAGCTGAGGGGAGACAAAAAATTATTGTTGCTCACCGTTTATTTGAACTGGAATAAATTGGGAATTTGAGGTAGGGAATGAACATGGAATTATAGACCAGCTAATCTAACATCTGTAGTCGGCAAAATGCTGGGGTCTATTATAAAGGGTGTTGTAACAGGACAGTTAGGAAATACCAAAGGATTACACAAAGTCAACATGGATTTATGAAAGACAAATAGTGTTTGACAAACTTATCAGAATCATTTTGAGGACGTAACTAGTAGAATAAATGAGGGAGAACTAATAGGTGTGTATTTGGATTTACAGAAAGCTTTTGATGAAGTCCTACTTAAGAGGTTACTGTATAAAATCCAAACACATGGGTTTGGTGTTAATAAATTAGCATGGATTGAGAATTGGTTAGCAGACAGGAATAGTAGGATAAATGGGTCTTGTTCAGAGTGGAAGTCAGTGACTGATAGGGTACCACAGGGATCAGTGCTTTCATCTAAGCTATCTACAATGTATGTCAATGATTTGGATGGGGGAGTCATATGTAATGTTTCTAAGTTTGTTGAAAACCAGCTTGACACAACTAGATGAGATTGAGTGGTGAGGAGAAAATAAAGCATCTCCAGGGTGTTTTAAACAAGTTGAGTGAGCTAATGCATGGCCAACTTGGTGTGACTTGGATTATTGTGAAGTTATCCACTTCAGTAGGACAAACAATGGCACTTTATTATTTAAATAGTGATTGATCAGGAAATGTTGATGTACAAAGGGCCCTAGTTGTCCTTTTGTTACTAGTCACTGAAAGCAAGCATGCAGATGCAGCAAACAGTTTGGAAGGCAAATAGTCTTCATTGCAAGAGGATTTGAATACAGGAACAAGGAAGTCTTATAGCAGTTATACAGGGTTTTGGTGAGATTGCAGATTGAAGTTTTGTGTGCAGTTTTAGTCTCCTTATTTCAGCAAATGTATCCTTTCTTTAGAGGGAGAACAACAGAGGTCCACTACACTGATACCTGCAAAGGCAGAATTGTTGTATGAGGAGAGATTGGGTTGAATCGTATTGAAAGGTATAAAAAATTCTGACAGTGTTCTGGAACAAGGATCACAGTCTCAGGATACAGGGTTAGGCCATTCAGACGGAGGAGAAATCTCTTAGATGGTCGTCAACCTATGGAATTCTCTACCACAGAATACTGGAGGCTATACCACAGGAGACTGGATGCCAAATCAGCAAATAAAATAAAGAAATAGATTACTAGAGACTAAGAGCGTCAAACGGTTTGGAGAAAGAAAAGGAATAAGGTACGGATAAGAAGATCAGATGTGATCATGTGGAATGGCAGAGTAGGGTCAAAGGATTGAATGTCTTGTTTCTCCTATTTTCTGTGTTTGTTAGGTTTTATACATGTAGAGAAAGAAGGAAAATGGTAGGTGATGCAGTGATAGGAATGAGGAGGGAATCAGAGAGAACATTTGAGATCAAGTGGAAGGCCGGAGTGATTAAGTGTTTAAAAAGCATGGTTGTCCAAAGCAAAATGGCATGTGATTTTGGAACAATTTAAACAAAAACTTGGTCAAGATGAGGTATAACTATGGCAGAACAAATGCTGGGAAAGGTTTTTGACATCATTGGCATTTGCTTGTAATAATGGGTGCAAGTTCAATTTGTCTAGCCCAGGTGCCAGTAAGTGACTGTGCATCAGGCAGCTGTTTTGGCTTTGCAGCAGCTGGAGGTACCTTGCTCTAAGGAAAATATTGAAATGACAAATTTTTCTAATCTACCTTTTTGATTATGCGCCTTGAATGTACACTTTCTATATCTGAGATACAATCAAGTAATAACTTTGCAACAGGCTCACTCGCCATACTTTTGGTACTTTGGTCATTTACCTGATGTGTAGCAATGTTGGGTAATCTTGTCTTTCCTCATTTTCTTTAGTGCCACTGTGAATTTGTTCTGATATGCTAAAGAGCGTGAGTGGCATTAATCCTGATCATCACACTTGACTAGGCATGTTACTCACCTGGCCTCTGCAGCAGGTAATCGTCATAACTTCATTGGGCAGCTTAATGTTCATTTGGCTGCCTGTCAAAGAGGGGCTGGATGCTATTTTGAACTTGCCCACGCTTTTCCTCATTGAACACTTGAGTGTGATGTATGTAATGCAGCATCTCGGCCTAAGCTGCCAGTGACAGACTGGTACCAATCACTACTACACCTCAATGCTGTTTCCACCACTATTGTACCCGTTTATGATTGACAGACCTCACTACATCAGTTATGTACGCCAGTGTGATAAGTGACTGGCCCACTGTGAGTGACATACATAGCTAGTGTCAGTTTATGGTGGTGCTACATATCCCGATGTTCTCCCCAGGCACAATTCAGGCTTGGAAGAACAGAACCTGTAATTCCTACCATGTTGTTTCCACAATGGAACAAGTTCACATGTTTTACTGAAATCCAGGCAATATCCCAGCACTGAGGACTTGTGCTCTGTACTGACTCTCTTCTTCCACTCTCTTCCCCCAGGTAAAATTTAACCAAGCTTTGGCTGACCATTCAATGGCTGAGAAGCCACGGCTGATTGATGGCATTGTACTGACTAAATTTGATACAATTGATGATAAGGTAATAATCGTGAACCAATGTGTATTTTAAGTAGAATTTGGTACAACTGCAGTGAGACTTAACCAAGTTCTTTGTTCACTTTTTAAAGCTGCAAATGCCTCACCATGATGATCTTGTGTAAATGTAAACAGAAATTTCTCAACTGATTTTCATTCATAGAATCCCTACAGTGTGGAAGCAGGCCATTCAGCCCATTAAGTCCAATCAACCCTCTGAACAGCATCCTACCCAGACCCACCCATCTATCCCATCCCTGTAACCCTGCATTTCCCATGGCTAATCTTTGTCTGCACATCTCTGGACACTTTGGGCAATTTAGCGTGGCCAATCCACCTAGCCTGTATATCTTTGGACTGTGGGAGGAAACTGGAGCACCCGGAGAAAACCCACGCAGATAAAGGGAGAATGTGCAAACTCCACACAGACAGTTGCCTGAAGGTGGAATCAAACCCGGATTCCCGGTGCTGTGAGGCAGCAGTGCTTACAACTGAGTCACCGTGCTGCTCAAATTCATGCTAATTGGTGTAGGTTGACCTGGATAGTGAAGTGCAGGTGAGATCTACATATGTTTATTAGACAGTGTTAAACATTCAGATTGTAAGTACAGGAGAAATGGATTTAGTTTTTCCACCTAGTTCAATCCTTCTACCACTAAAACTCCAGAAAGCCTACATGGCATGTTCTCTGGCATTAGTCACAGGTTTCTAACGCTTGAAAATTGGAATCAAAACATTTATTATTTGGCTGTTTTTACCTGTTTTACTTCCGAACAGGACCAGAGACATTCTGTAAACACTCTAACCATTGAACCAATGTTTCATATTGGTGCTGAAATAGGGTCAGAAATTTAAACTGCTAATTTATAACTTGGAATTGCGATGTGGTGTTTTATTTTTGTTGTAACTTTACACATGGTCCACACAGCTCTGTTATACATGCAGTAAAATAAATGAGGCCAAAGACAAGGTTCAGAAACCTAATCTATCAAGACAATACTGCTGTTTGTGGCAAAGAAATGTCAAATCTTATCCATGATCTCCTTGATTCATTATATTTACTAATGGTCAGCGTGAGAGGAAATGATCTAAATCACAACAGGAAGAGGCCATTTAGTCAATCCTGGTTGTTTTATCATTCAGTGAGATCATGGTTAATATCTAACCCATATTTTTCATATTCCTGCCTTTGTGACATCCTTTGTTAAAAAAATTTATCCATCTCAGTTTAGCATCAGCTGCGATTTTGTGAAAAAGCGTTCCACATTGTTCGTGCAAAGTATTTCCTGACATAACTCCTGAAAGGACTGGCTTTGATTTTTACATTGTGTCCTCTCCCACCCATTCCTAAGCTCCTCAACTTTCTCTACCCTAAATGTCACCTATAGGTTTTCTAAATTTCAGTGAAAATAACTATTTATTAATTTCACACCTGAAAGGACTGGCTCTGGTTTTACATTGTCTAAATCTCCCTGCCTCCTCTTTCTTTCATTATCATTCTGGACTTTTTACACTCTGTATTCCCATGTTAGGTTTTTGTTTTTACTATTTCATTTCTGTAACATACTTAAAGTATCCGTACCTAGGTATCCTGTATCTATGATGGTGCTGAGAGATAACATTACAAACTTTTCACAGCACTTATTCAAGTGCCTGTGATAATAAAGGCTGTTCTAATTCATCCTAGCTTGCAGAAAGTCTTTCTCTACCTATTCTCTTCCCATAATAACTTGAAAACTATTCTAAATTTCAATGAATATAACCCTGGTTTATTTAATCTCTCCTTTTAATTTAACTCTTGGAATCTAAATGTCATTCAGGTGAATCCAAGCTGCATAGCTCCAGAGAACTGTTCACAGTACTCTCAGCTGTGCTCTAGAGTTTTCTTTAAATCAATCTGAAATGCTGTGATCCACCTCTGCAGCAGGTGGGTCTTGAACCCAGGCCTTCTGCCTCAGATGAGAAGAAGTGTCAAATAGCTTTTATACCTTATCAATCCTAGCGTGGAGTTTGAAGTCATCTTCTCTGGACCAGTAGATGGTAATATTATTACCAGATCCAAAGTGAGCATGTAGCTTGTGCTCTAACCTTGTCTAATATCGCTGCAGCATAATTTCCATACTTTAATCCTCTTCGTCAAGGCTAGTATTCCATTAGCCTTTTTGGTATTTTCTGTGCCTCTTCAGGATATTTTAGTTGATGTACATGGACTCCCAATTCTCTTTGGACTTTCATTGTTCCAGCTTTTTACTATGTAGTAAGTATTTTGTTCCATCACCTTAAGTCCAAAGCAGATGATCTGACATTTGCCTACATTAAAATCCATTGGGCATAATGGCTATAAGTCATCTGATTGCTCCCAACACCAGTGCCAGACTAGTACCTATTATCATTGTACCCACTCTCTTGTCCCTTCAGTTGACCTCCAAGGTTTACAGACTTTTCTGTTGTTTCAGGTTGGTGCTGCCATTTCAATGACCTACATCACTGGCCAGCCAATAGTTTTCGTTGGAACTGGACAGACCTACAATGACTTGCGCAGCCTTAATGCCAAGGCTGTCGTCAGTGCTCTAATGAAGGCTTAAGTACCTGCTTTTCACTATTGTCTTAATGCAGCGTAACTGCCACTGGATCACCCGTCTCCAGCCCCTCACTGATTGATTGTTCCCTGCATATTGAAGGATTGTTGTTGAATACATTGAAACCATCTGTTCACATTGCAACATTTCCAGCATCAGTCTGCTGCAATTCCCTTCCAACTTGCTATTATAAAAAAATGGATGCACAGCAAAAACTACTACCACATCACTGAAGAGATCGACTGCTTTTCCTTTTATAAAAACCCGTGTCTTTTAATTCTTAGTGCAATAAACTTCAGTACTGGCTGCCTATGAATTAGAGAACTTGTAAAGAGAATTTATTAAATAAAGCTGCTATTATTGTCAGCTGTGGCATTCTCAGTTGTTGTGTCCATTTTTTTATGGGTTTCCAAGATGCCAGTATTTCTGTACACTGTTGGGAAAAAAAGTATTTTATTCAGCACCAGCCTGAAGTAAGATTTACTTGAATACTATAATTAAAACAAATGCCAGAGGTCCAAGGCAATTCTGTCTGTACACAGAAGGGACTCCCATACAAAACAGCCTAATTGACCTCAAAACAGTTGCAATTCCAGTTATTATGTATGTTCTGATTCTACTGTCTGGTACTACTAAGGAAATATTATTTCGAATATTGCCATCAATATTTGTTTAAAGTATTGGTTTAACATTTCAACTTAGTTCCTCAATGCCTGTGAAAATATATTTCACTATCTATTCAAAAAAAGCAGGTTCAATTACAGTACTGGGAAACTTAAAAAAAAGCATGCATGCTTGCAGGAATAAACCCCAGTTTCACCTGGTCTCCAATGGACATATATTTTGGGGCACTATTTGTATCAGGTCTTTATTCTTTTATTCATTCACGGGATGAGGGCATCGCTGGCCAGGCAGCATTTGTTGCCCATCCCTAATTAAGAGTCGATCACATTGCTATGGGTCTGGAGTAGACTAGACCAGGTAAGGAGGGCAGTTTCCTTCCCTAAAGGACATTAGTGAACCAGATGGGTTTTTCCAACAATCAATATTGGTTTCATGGTCATCATTAGATTCTTAATTTCAGATATTTACTGAATTCAAGTTCCACCATCTGCCATGGTGGGATTTGAACCCAGGTCCCCAGAACCACTGCAGAATCTTATTAGGGCATACTTACACTGCTAACTGGGCTGAAGATACCCAGAGTCCTGGACATTCAGGTACATATCCCACAATGGTAGGTGTTGACAAATTAATAATTCTACTCTTAGTAATGGTGTCCATGACTTGTAGCATTGATTGTTGTGAAACCTATCTGGTTTACTCGTGCACTTCAGGCAAAGTACTGTACCTGGTTTGCCAACACTTGATATTTAAATAGTTTACTTTTACTCTCTCTGAAGTGGCATAGCATGCAGATTTTTTTATAAATTCATTTGTGGGATGTGGGTGTCACTGGCTGGCCAGCATTTCTTGCCCACCCCTAGTTACCCTTGAAGGTGTGGTAGTGAGTTGCCTTCTTGAACTGCTGCAGTCCACCAGCTGTAGGTTGACCCACAATGCTGTTATGAAGGGAATTACAGGATTTTGACCAAGTGACAGTGAAGGAATGACGATATATTTCCAAGACAGGATGGTGAGTGGCTTCCAGGGGAACTTGGAGGTGGTGGTGTTCCCATATGTCTGCTGTCCTTGTCCTTCTAGATGGAAGTGGTCATAGATTTAGAAGGTGCTGTCCGAGGATTTTGGATGAATTTCTGCAGTGCATCTTATAGATGGTACTCACTACTACTGAATGTCAGTGGTGGAGGAAGTGGATACTTGTGGGTGTAGTGCCAATCAAGCGGGCTGCTTTGTCCTGGGTGGTGTCAAGCTTCTTGAGTGTTGTTGGGGCTGCACCCATCCAGGCAAGTGGGGAGTATTCCATCACGGTCCTGACTTGCGCCTTGTAGATGGTGGACAGGCTTTGAAGAGTCGGGAGGTAAGTTACTCGCTGCAGTATTCCTAGCTTCTGGCCTGCTCTTGTAGCCACTGTGTTTCTGTGGTGAGTCCAGTTGAGTTTCTGGTCAATGATAACCCCCCAGGCTGTTGATAGTCGGGATTCAATGATGGTAACACCATTGAATGTCAAGGTGTGGTGGTTAGATTGTCTCTTATTGGTGATGGTCATAACCTGGCGTTTGTGTGGCACAAACATCACTTGCCACTTGTCAGCCCAAGCCTGGATATTGTCCAGATCTTGTTGCATTTGAACACAGACTGCTTCAGTATCTGAATTACCCCTCCCTGACAAAAGGGCAAGTTATGAAGAAGCCAACATGTTCTACACTCTTAACCCTTGTTTGTATGCCACTAGGCTCTGGTCATGTCCCCTCCTAATAAATCATGAACACATGCACAGAAAATTGAAAAAGATCCTTGACCTCTTGACCCATATGGTGTTTAAACATGCTATTCATTTTTCATACACATATACATCAACAAAATACCAAAGTATTATTTCTAAAACAGATGCATCAATAATGATTTTTAATGATAAAATAATCTGTACAGAAGTCAGTCATCAACAGTACAAAATTTCTACATCAAAACTTGAGCTGTACAATTGCAAGAGTTGTCAAGTATGGGAGAACTATATTGATGTCCATAAAATACAGCTCATTTTAATGAGCAAAAGAAAAACACATTGGTGGCTGTGAAGCCTAGAAGTTTGACTTAGTGAAGAAAATGGGAGTGTTTTCAATACAGCAAGGACATTCTTTTGAGCCATTTTCTCTAACTTTCAATGCCAGTAACAGGTATTGATTGGCCTCTTCATGTGGTCAGTTATTGTGTATCCCTGCAACATTGTCATCTGTGTTTCAACAGTCACTCTTATGAAAGGCAAGTCCGAACTCATCTCCCCAGCTTTATCTCATCATCTGTTTCCATTCTCTGGCCTGGGCAGAAGCAACAAAAGTTGTTGAGCAGACAGCTTCAACAGATAATAATACCTACAATGTGTAACATAGATATTCCCCGTACACATATGAGCTGGTTGTAAGTTATTTAGCCTTTCAAACCTACTCTATCATTTAATAAGATCGTGGTGAGAACCTCTACATTAACTTAATATTTCTCCATTCCCTATACTCTTTAATTGTCCTGGTTCCAAAAACCTATTGAACTCTGACCCAAGCATGCTCAATAATCCGAACCACAAGTGATGAAATTCCTTCACTTTCTAGTCTAAATGACTGATACCCATCCAAACCCTAATCTCAAACACCAAACTCCAGCTAGAGAACCATCCTGTACATTCTGATCTGGCAAACAGACTGGGAGCAGCTACTTGCAGTTAAGTCTACATTTGGAAAGAGGGAGTCTTTTAGAAGTCATAAAGTGAGAATCCAGAGCCAGAGAGTGTTCCTCCAAGGAGTGACGGGAAGGACAGCAAGTCCAGGGAACTCGATGCCAAGAGACATTGCGAGTTTGACAAAGAAAAGAAAGAAGTAAATGTCAGTGCATTAAAAAAGGGAAGCCCATCAAAAGTACAGCGAGTGTAGGGAGTTGCTTAAAAAATAAAGGAGGGCTAAGAGAGGCCACAAAATATCTTTGGTTTACAGGATCAAGGAAAACCAAAGGCTTTTTATAAGTGTATTAAGAACAAGAGAATTACCAGGGTAAGAGTGAGACCTTTAGAGACAAAAAGACAACCAGTGCGTGGAGTCAGGGGACAGGGGTGAGGTCTTACGTGAACACTTCTATATTCACGGAGGACAAAAACATTGTAGCCAGGGGTTTCATTTAGTATGATGAGGTTCTAGAACACAGAATGAGATGGAATACCATGTGCTGTTCTGGTTGCTGCACTGTTGGAAGGCCATGGTTGCACTAGAGAGAATACAGAGGAGATTCATCAGGATGTTGCCTGGGATGGAAAGTTTCAGTTATGAGGAGAGATCTGGATAGGCTTGGTTTGTTTTGCTTGCAGTAGAGAAAGTGGCAAGGGGATCCAATTGAGATGTACAAAATTATGAGACCCCCAAGCAGATCATGAGATCTTTTCCCCTTGGCAAAGGTGTCCAAGACTAGAGGGCATAAGTTCAACGTGAGAAGTAAGTGGTTTAAGAGGAGATCCAAGAACATTTTTATTCTACACAAAGGGTGATAGAGATTTGGAAAATGCTGCCTGAGGTGGGTGATGGAGATAGGCACATTCACAACATTTAAACAGCATCTACTATGCCCTGGCATTGCAGGCTATGGACCAAATGCAAGTGAATGGGATTAGTGTAATTTGGCATTTGTCAGTTGGTATAGATATGGTGGGTGAAAGGCCTCTTTCTATGTTGTATGATTCTACGACTATTACTCTAGAAATGGCATAAAGTGTGATCTAAAGCATGATAGATGAAGGACTCAAAATGTGAAGATAACTCAGAATTCATACCTTTGCTATTCAATGTAAAAGGACCATTCTTCAATATGTTGTCAACATTGGATGCTTCAATCAGAAAGAAATGGAAAGGAGTAAAGCAGATTAAACACAACCAAGTAATAATATCAAGCAGCAGTCTTCTATTACAGGATGAGATTTAGCATTTAAAATTGCTTTTTCAGTGAACATTTCAGCTGATGAAAGAAGTCATTCTTGGAAACTAAACACTTAAATAATTAGGTAATAACGCCAAGTGCCCTGGAGTTGGGCACAGAATGGGTCTGCAGTGCACAAAGCATTTGTAATTTGCACTGATAGCAACCCCCAGCCCAAAGTTAAGAAGCATAATCTTTATTAAACCATTGTGACATCTGATTGCCCATACCAGCCATCAAGGTTATCCACGTTATGACCTGGATTTTTTTCATTAGTACCAAGCTCACTACTAACTGAATATCAGTCAGGATGCAATCTCCCTCGATTGTCTCCCCATTAATTTCAACAGATAATAACTTGAGGCCAATCACGTCCACACATCAGGTACCCTTTTCTGGCTGGCCAAAGTCTTGCTCCCAGGCAATGAAACAGAAAAATCAAGCTTCGTACATTTAGCCCTAATTTGAAAGCAGTTTTTTCTATTCTTGAGTTAAGAAGAAATGTGAGGGAATATTAAGGTACTATTGACAAATATATTACTATTGAACCCAGCACAGCCCACGTTCGTAATGATGCTAAGACCCATCATCTGCCCCCACGTTAAAAAAAATACAAATCTATAAATTCTCACTTCATGGAAAAGCTAGTGTCAAGCTGTTTTCCTGTGGTCAGGGACAGACTACCTAAGCTACAACTGAAATGCCATGTTTGTACTGGTGCAAAATGATTTTTGGATTCACTAATGTAAAAGTACAGCAAACTTTTTAATTATCTGGCACCTATGGGACTAGGAGAGTGCCGGTTGACCAAATACTCCAATTGATCAAGAGGTCCACATAATCAATGTAAAAACACACACTAAAGTATTAGAAATGTAATATGGGGGTTATACACAAATGTTATATTTTATTTATAACATAAGTCACTTAAATAAAAATGTAACTTTGCCTTAAATAAAACTTACCGGCAGAGAGCCTTCTCGCGCGCACCCTCAACTGACTACTTGGGCATTGCGGTAAATCAGAGTATTTGAGGAGAAATTGACTGAATTAACTGTTGACATTTTGTGTGGCCATTTGAGCAACAAGCATACTTACATGGAGGTAAATAAATTTAAAAAACTATATATTGCTGCATAGTGGCTCAGTAGTTAGCACTTGCTGCCTCACAACACCAGGAACCCTGGTTTGATTCCAGCCTTGGGTGACTGTTTGTGTGGAGTTTGCATGTTCTTTCCATGTCTGCATGGGTTTCCTCCCAAAGATGTGCAGGTTAGGTGGATTGACCATGCTAAATTTCCCACAGTGTCCAGGTATGTGCAGGCTAGATAGATTAGCCATGAAAAATGCAGGAATGCAGGGTTACAGGGATAGGGTAGTGGGGTTTGAGTCTGGGTGGGATGCTGTTCAGACAGCATCCTATACTCCAGTGAAAAAAGTCCCAACCGATCCAGCATCTCCTTATAACTCAAACTCTCCATTCCCGGCAACATCCTGGTAAATCTTTCCTGAACCCTCTCCAGCTTAATAATATCCTTCCTGTAACAGGGAAACTAGAACTGGACACAGTATTCCAGAAGAAGCCTGACCAATGTCCTGTACAACGTCAACATGATGTCCTAACTTCTTTACCCACAGGTCTGAACAACGAAGGCAAGAGTGTGAACACCTTCTTAAGCACTCAGTCTATATGTCATGCAAACTTCAAAAGAATTATGTACCTAACTCCTAGGTCTGACTTCTATAGCACTGTCATTCTACAACACATTTGTCTGTCTAATGCTAGTGACGGTGACGATACTTAATTCCTCCCTGTATTCTTGAATATTAGTGGAATGTTCGAAGTATCTTCCAACCATTTTCTTGCTAAATGACCAAGCTCAAATTATATTACAGCACTTATTCTAAATTCCCCAACTAGAAGACAGTTTTTATCCAGCCAAATTTCTTGATGAACATTTCCTTAATAATCATAAATCAAGGCATACCAAGCCCTGCTCGTATGACCTTTTCTCATAACTGAAACCTTCAATTCCTGGTATCATTCTGGTGAATTTATGTTGAATCCATTCCAAGATTAAGACCATTTCAAGGTTCCCTGCCCAAATCTAGAAGGGATCTGACAAAAACACTATACAACTCCAGCCTCACTATGCCAATATTTATAATCCTCTACTGGTGTTCATTTTTTGTAGAACGCAAGCCTGCAATCTGTGAACAGTAACATGTATAGAACAGATAATTCTAAGCACTGCTAGGTGACAAGATAGAAAAAGATTTATTAGGTCACTCAAGACGGTTTGGGAGTCAACAAACAAGAGTTCAGCGTTACAGGCAGGCAACAGAGGGAAGGTATGACACAGGTAGGCAGACTTCATTTTAAAGCACTGCAGTTAACAGTGCTGCTGTGAAGACAGCTGAATAACACAAATTCTAATTTCGAAAAATTGATAGACAGCAAAGTGTTGGAGTTTGGGAGCTGAGAAAGTTGGCACTTTGCTGGAGAAGCCACGAGGGGTTTGGAAGAAGCTTGCAAGTGTTGATACTTCAATACAGCAGGCAGGGGTAGGGAGCCCAAAAGCTGCATATACTGGATTCTACTAAGCAAAATTACAGCTCAGGGTAAAACCTAAAGGCAGTTTTAGCTAGCGAAACAAACTGTCAGAGAAGAGCTAGAATTATGGTTGCGAATGACTACTGAAATGCAGTTTTGGAATCCAGGAAAAGAAGGTGACTGACCAGAGCAAGAGCAGCTCTGAAGCAGACCACAGATTGTCTCCCACAGAATGAGGACAGATCAGTGGAAATAAAGAACTGTAAACCTTTGTGACATTTAATGAGCTTTAATGACTCATCATGAATTAATATCTGGGGTGGACAAGTTGTTGAGAAATCCGTAAACACAGCCTGATCACATTTGCCATTTGACGTTTGCAGTGGGGCCTTAGATCACAGTCTATTACCAAGGTTTACCACATATTATTACTGGGTACAACTGTACTGTACATGTATTGTAGATTGTATCACAGTCCTAACATGGAATACTAAAAAAAAGTTTATTGTTATTTGAGAGTGCCTGGACTTCACCTATTGTTTACTTTAAAAATAAAGGCTAGTGGTCGCAAACTAGATCATAGTGTAAGTTGGTGTTCTCATCTGGGATCAGAACATATTTTGTCACCTTTTTGGTGTTCCCTTTTTTGTACCTGTGTGACAGTTTTTAGGGGGTGTGAACCTGAATACACTAATCCCTTATCCTGCCCTAGATCCTCAACTCCGGCAACTAAGCAAACATCTTGATTTAGTTTTCTCAGACCCCAAATAGACAACCTCACAACATACTGCTCTTCCTGGCTTCACATCACCTTAAAACCTAAAAGTGCAACCCCTAATTCTTTCATTATTTACTAATGATTTAGAAAGAAGTCACTTAATGTGAAAAGTTGAGGCCCCAGTACAGATCTCCAGGGAACAATTTTCAACATACTCTGTCAACAAATCTGACAACTAACACTTTATTCAAGCTTTGTCCTATCTTTCAGCAGATTACCAATCTGGCTTCTTGTCCATGGAAGCTGAACATTGGGATTTACATCCCACAAATTAGTCTCGGCTAGCCTGATGTTCAGATACACCCTCTCACCAAACATTCATTGAACAGCAAGCAGGAGCAGGAACCCAAGCTGATTTTCCCTATATATACCATTCTGAATGCTGCATTCATCCAACTACATCACCATCCAGATCTCTCCCTGCAAAATAACATGGTACCAATATCTTTTATAACTTGTGTTGTTAGCTACTGGATTAGTCACTTATTCAACTTGCCAACAACATACCTTGTCTCCCTGGTGCACAGATGGTGTTTGTTAACCGTTCAAGATATTCTGGCAGATCAAAATAATCTTCTCCATAAGAGATCACTTTAATTCCTTTGTCCAACATGTTTTCGCGAAGCTTTTTAAACTCATCCACATCATCTCTGCGCACTAGCATGAAGTGTTCCAGGTCAGACTTGTTTCTCACTGCTTCTAGGAAGAGCGACTGGAACGTTGTGTCCTCAACAGTCCGGCCACAACCGAGGAAGACAAAGGCCTTGGTTTCATATAGTTTCTGAATTTCCCTCTGCTCGATAATAAAACATAATCATTAACAGCGCTGACTCCATAATATGAAAACAAGATTTTGTTACTGGACATAATGTAGACCAAATTGCAAATGTTAACGTTCACTGAAGTTCAAACATATATGCATATGTTTATGTTCTCCTCTATTCTGATGGCTCCTGCTGGTGCATAAGTGCTTTCCAGGTCCTTTCCCACGTCACTACCAACCTCAAAGGTTAACGTTAGTTATCTATTCAGTGGTGGGTAAAACACAAGACCAATGGTGGCTCAGTGGTCAGCACTGCTGTCTAGTGCACCTGGGTTCAATTACACCCTCATGTGACTGTCTGTGTGGAATTTGTACATTCTCCCCACATCTGTGTGGATTTCCTCCAGATAATCCAGTTTCCTCCCACAGTCTACACACGTGCAGGTTGGGTGGATCAGCCATGCTAAATTGCCCACAGTGTCCAGGGACGTGCAGGCTAGGTGGGTTAGCCATAGGAAATGCAGGGTTACAGGGATAGGGTAGTGGGATTGGTCTGGGTGGGATGCTCTTTGGAGGGTCAGTGTAGACACAGTGGGCTGAATGGCCTGCTTCCACACTGCATAGGTATTCTATGATACTATGAAATAGTAAATAAAACTGGAAGAACTGCAGATGCTGTAAATCAGAGACAAAAACAGAAATTGCTGGAAAAGCTCAGCAGGTCTGACAGCATCTGTGAAGAGAAATTATTGTTAATGTTTTGGGTCAAGTGATCCTTCCTCAAAATAGTTCTGAGGAAGGGTCACTCAACCCAACATGTTACCTCTGATTTCTCTCCACAGATGCTGCCAGACCTGCTGAGCTTTTCCAGCAATTTCTGTTTTTGTCACCAAATGCTAAATCTTTACCTCATTAAAACCACGCACCTTCTTGCATGAATCATTGGATTGAAAACAGGGCTATGTGAATTTTATGACCTTATTCCTCTTCTTTAGCAGAGGACGCTGAGATCAATTACATCAACAAAATTGCTGCCATGACTGAGATCAGCCAACTCACTTGTCTTCTCTGGCTTTAAAACACACAAGCAGATTTATCAATGCACCATTAGGGGGTGCTTATCTCAATTTTTCAAAATCCTTTCCTGATCTGTATTACTTTGACCCAAGTATGAAGTCACAAATAGAGTACATCTGCTAAAATGTGATATTCGATTTAGTTGGACAACTAACCACAACTTCCTTCTTTCCCAAGTTTTCTATCAACAAATGTCAGAATATGTATCAGCTAGAAAGTTGATATATTTATTCTATATGTATTATCCCACAGATGTCAGCTCTGTGATGCACAGTTTATCTGGGATGAAATGGATTTTGCTTCACAAGAATTGCAGAAGTACGTAGAAATCCAGTAGCAGATCAAAATATCCTGCTTCAATTACAATGTTATCAGTTACACCAGGTTTACTGGATGGAAACAGGCCATTAAACCTGAACTATGCTGCTAGTCATTCTTAAGAGCAGCCTCACCCACCCTCTTCTAATCCCCCATCAATGGTCTCAGGTGTGACCACCACACAGTCCCTTCACACTGAGGACACTCATCATAGTGCCATACACTATCACTATGCTGAATGGGATAGATTTTGAAAAAACCTTACAAATCAAGACGGAGTATCCACAGCATCGGCAGCAGAATCATATTCAACCACAATGTGTAACCTCACGGACTGCATATCCCCCATTCTACCATTATCATCAAGCTATGAAATCAACTCTGTTTCATAAAGAGTGCAGGAGGGCATGCCAAGAGCAACATAGGTATACCTCAGAACATGGTGTTGACTTGGTAAAGCTACAACACAAGACTACCTGCGTGTCAAACAGTGCAAACAGTATACGATAAACAGAGCTAAACAATCCCACAACCAACAGATCAGATCTAAGCTCTGCAGTTCTGCTTCATCTAATTATACAATTTACTACACAAATATCCCCATCCTCAAAGATGCTAGAACCCAGCACATTAGATCCAAAGTGTACAGTGAAGCATTTGCATACTTCAAACCAGAAGTGCCAAATGGATGACCAATCTCAGCCTTCTTTGGAGACAGTCAGCAGCATAGATGCCAGGCTTCAGCCAATTTGATACACTCTAAGTAATGTCACGAAAAAGGTGAAGACATTGGATACAGGTTATAGATCTAGAAAACTTTCCTGAAATAGCATTGATGACTTGTGTTGCAAGTCAGCTATGCCCCTAAGCCAAGCTGTTCCAGTGGCTCAGGTATGTCCTGTCCACAGAAAGCAAAACAGATTCAACATGGCTAATGTTCAGGCTTAGGACATTACTGTGTATGGTGGGAGGAATAGGACGTTTCAAGGTGTATTTTTCAATCAAAGTTTCAGCAAAGTGATGGAAGGTGCTATCAAGAAATACCTTGCTTCGCGATAACGTTTGTATTCTGTCAGGCCTACTTGGATCCTGAACTCATCACAGCCTTGGTTGAAGTACAGACAGATCTGAACTCAAGAGGGGTGGGAGGGTGACTGCTCTAGAAATCAAGATAGTATTTGACAGAGTATAGAATCAAAGGCCTGGCAAAACTGGTGACGATTGGAAATAGGGGATAAACCAATGACAGGTTATAGACAGACAAAGCACAAAGTAAAAAAGTTATTGGAGGTCAATGATCTCAGCCACACCACATCACTGCAGAAGTTCCTCAATGTAATGAAAGGGTTAATATAGCACAAACATTTCCGGACAAGTACAGGGTGTGGGTAAATCCTGACCAACAGATTAGCCAAGTAGTACCAGGATACAAAAAAACTGCCATATCCATTGTTCTTGGAGCCAGAGGAGAGACATCATTCTGTTCTTTGGTCCCCCTGCATATACTTAAATAAGACAAGACTGGTAAAATACACCTTGAAACATCCTATTCATCCCACCATACACAGTAACGTCCTAGGCCTGAACATTTTCAGCTGCTGCATCAATAACCTGCACCTGGAATGTGGCCAGTAATCGGCCAGGTTTGATTTGTGCTACTTTTCGGTGACAGGACATAAATCAGCCAATTTTCCACATTTCCAGATGGATTCAGTTTGTAACTCAGAGTCAAACAGCATGCACTGACCACTGTACTGGAACAACTTGACAGCTAGTTCTGGAGCACTAATCTTCAGTGGTATTTACTGGACGTTGTCAAGGCTCATAGCCTTTGCAGCATCCAGTGACTTCAGCCATTCCTTGATCGAGAGTCAGAATCTAACTGATCTATGCCGACCAGACATCCCAATCTGACCTAGACCCGTTTGCCAGCATTTGGCCCGCATCCCTCTAAGCCCTTCCTATTCATATACCCATCCAGATATCTTTTAAATATTGTAAGTGTACCAGCCCTAACCACTTCTTCCAGCAGCTCGTTCCATACTGGCACCACCCTCTGCATGAAACAGTCATCCCTCAGGTCTTTTTTAAATCTTTCCCCTCTCACCTTAAACCTATGCCCTCTAGTTTTGGACCCCACCACCCTAGGAAAAAGACCTTGGCTATTCACCCCATCCATGCCCCTCATGATTTTATAAACCTCAATAAGGTCACCCCTCAGCCTCCGACGCTCCAAAGAAAAACGCCCCAGTCGATTCAGCCTCTCCCTTTAACTCAAACCCTCCAACCCTGGCAATGTCCTTGTAAATCTTTTCTGCACCCTTTCAAGTTTAGCAATATCTTTCCTTCAGAAAGGCGATCTGAATTTAACGCATTTTTCAAAAAATGGCCTCACCAACGTCCTGCAAATAATGTCTGACAAATGAAGGTAAGCATGCCAAACGCCTTCACCATCCTGTCTGTGACTCCACTTTCTAGGAACTATTCATTTGCACTCCATGCCACTTTGCTTGGCAATGCTCCACAGGGCCCTACCATCAACAGTATAAGTCCTGCCCTGGTTTGCCTTACCAAAATACAATACCTTATATTTATCAATATTAAACTCCATCTGCCACTCCTCAGCCCATTGGCACATCTGATAAAGGTCCCTTAGTACTCATTTAATCTTTTTTGCTGTCCACTACACCACCTATTTTGGTGTCATCTGCAAACTTACTAAAGCATGCCTCCTATATTCACATCCAAGACACTTATATAAATGACAATAAGCAGTGGATCTAGCACCAATCCTTTTCACAGGCCTCCAGTCTGAAAAGCAACCCTCCACCAGTACCCTATGTCTCCTACCTTAAAACCAATTTGAATCCAATTAGTTAGTTCCCTCTTGATCCCATGTGATCTAACCTTACTAACTGGTCTACTATGTGGAACTTGTCAAACGCTTCCCTGAAATCCAATGTCTAACGTTCTGCCTTCAATCTTCTTTGTTACTTCTTCAAAAATCTCAATCAAGTTAGTGAGATATGATTTCCCATGCACAAAGCCACGTTGACTATCCCTAATCAGTTCTTGCCTTTCCAAATGCATATAAATCCTGTTACTCAGAATCCCCTCCAATAACTTACCCAACACTGACATAAGGCTCAATGATCTATAGTTCCCTGGCTTTTCCTTACAGCCTTTCTTAAACAATGGCACCACGTTACCCAACCTCAAGTCTTCCAGTACCTCACCCGTGGCTATCTATGAGACAAATATCTCAGCAAGGAGCCCAGCAATCTCTTCCCTAGCTTCCCACAAAGTTCTGGGAAACACCTGATCAGGTCCCAGGGATTTATCCATCTTTATGTTTTTTAAGGACTCCAACTCCTCCTCTTTGGTAATATTAACTCTTTTTAAGACATCACTATTTATTTCCCCAAGTTTCCTAGCATCCATGTCCTTCACAGTAAACATTTACATGAAATATTTGTTTAGTACCTCACCCATCTCCTGTACTTCCATACATTGCCGGCCACACTGATCTTTAAGGGATCCTATTCTCTCCTTAGTTACTCTTTCGCCCTTAATGTACTTATAGAATCTCTTTGAATTCTCCTTAACCCGTATTTGCCAAAGATATCTCATGTTCCCTTTCTGCCCTCCTGATTTCCCTGTTAAGTATATTCCTACTGCCCGTATACTCCTCTAGGGATTCACTCAATCCCAGTTGTCTATACCTGACATATGCCTTCTTGCATTTTTGACTGGAGCCTCAATTTCTTCAGTCATTCGGCATTCCCTACACGTACCAGCTTTGCTCTTCACACTAACAGGAACATACTGTCTCTGAACTCTCATTATCTCATCTTTAAAGGACTCTCACTTCCAACCATCCTGTTACCTGCAAATAGTCTGCCTCAATCAACTTTTGAAACTTCTTGTCTAATACTGTCAGAATTGGCCTACTCCAATTTAGAACTTTAAAACTTTTCGATCAGTTCTATCCTTTTACATAACTATTTTGAAACTAATAGAATTATGACGACTCACCCCGAAGAGCTCCGCCACTGACACCTCAGCCAGTTGCCCTGTGTTATTTCCCAACAGAAGGTCAAGTATTGCCTCAGCCTTTCCTGTTTTCTCACTGGCCCTTTGGTGGTGTTGATGTCAACATTCCTTCACCCACCACCACCCTTAAGAGTTTAAAGCTTTTTGAGTTACACTAGTAAATCTCCCCACAAAGATATTAGTCCCTTTTCCAATTTAGGTGGAACCCGTCCCCTCTTTTTCAGGTCATTTCTACCCCAAAAAGATCCCAATGGTCCAAATATGAATCCTTGCCCTCTGCACCAGGCGCTCAGCCACACATTCATCAGCTCTATCCTCCCATTCCTACTCTTACTAGCACATGGCAAGAATAGTCCAGATATTACTACCCTCGAGGACTTACTTCTGAACTTCCTGCCTAGTTTCCTATATTCTCTCGGCAGAACCTCATCCCCTTCCCTACCTATGGTACCAACATGCACAATGACCTTCTGCTGGTCACTCCCCCCTTCAGAATATTCTGTACCCTCTCAGACATTCTTGACCCTGACACCAGAGAGGCAACACCATCCTGATGTCTCACTGATGGCTGCAGCAACGTCTGTCTGTACCCCAGATTAGAGAGTCGCCTATTACAATCAATCGCTTGGAACCTGATATACCCCTTATTACAGTAGAGCCAGTTACAGTATCAGAAACCTGGCTGTCAGTGCTATACTCCCAAGAAGCCATTCCCCCTTCAGTATCCAAAACAGGCATACCTGTTTGCAATGGGGATAGTCACAGGAGACTCTTGCGTTACCAGGCTACCCTCTTACCATTCCTTTCAGTCAACTATCTGCGTCACTGTATCTGCGGTGTCGCCATCTTCCTGAAGATGCCAACTGACACTCCAACTGATCCATACAGTCCAATGGGATTCACAACCAAACACTTCCTGCAGACAGAGTCTCCAGGAACAAATTCTCCCTGATCTCGCATCTGACAGGAAGAGCACATTACACCACTAAAGGCCATATCTGCGCCTTTAACAATCTATAGACCTAGAAATTACATAAGAACAAACACTGTGCTCAAAAACACAGCAATTGCACAGTCTTATTGTTCAAAAACACTGCTCTGGAGATAACCCAATACCAATCCTTAATGTTAAAAGTCAGTCAATCAAGAGGCAGATCTCAGTATAAACATAATAAAAAAATGCCCTCACCTTACTCACTATTATAGATTCACAAAAAAAATTAAGATTTAGAAGTTTTATAAGTCTTAAAATCAAACACTTAGCAGATCAGGCTCACAAAGCAAAGGTGGGTCTTTTCTCCTGTAGTTTTAGGCAGTGATATTTTTGAATCACTGATACACCTGCAGCTGCACGTGAAGCTGGATATTGGACCTCCCATGTCAGCTATGAAACTGCACTGCTTGTTTGTTACTTCACTGAAATCCGATCTCCAGAGCCCTTGTGTAATTTCTCAATCTCACAGCTGTGAAACTACACTTGTTAGCTGCTTCATGAAAAGCCGATCTCCCAGCCTTTTGCATTTCTTCTTTCTCCGACCTTCCCATGAGGTCACTCTCCCTATCAAACTCCTCCAGTTGCTGTGCTGGGATCTGAACTAGTGACCCTAGACACCAGTCTTGACACCGAATTACCAGCCCAGTGACATTACCGCCTGGACACCATTACTTGAATGTACCCCCACGTCTTCTTGATACATTGGAGTGGGTTGCTAAATATTGAGTCTTATAATTCGCTAGGATAAGGAGATTGAAAATGCCATCTTTAGCAAAATTAGGCTTTATGGAGTCTCTCCTTGTGCATTGACCAAAGCAACATGATAGATCTAGGAACTACAAAGCTGTCACAAACTGAACCTCCGACTGACATCTAATAATGCATATCTTGTATAAACCTGCCTTATCCCAAGTGGTGACAATAATCATTCTTCGCTGGCATGAGGGTGTGGAGAGGTAGTGAAGGAAAAATCACAGATTAGGATAATTAGTCAAGCAATATGTTCCAGGGAATTTCATACACAGGTGTCTTGCTGCATGACAGTAGAAGCAGACGTGGAGAGTGCTGATGTGATTCTCCAGATATGTCCTTTTAAATTGTGCGTCAGATGTCTGTGCTAGGAAAGTAACATACAACTCACCATTACTTCTGTATTTCGCAACACATTCTGGTAGCCCAAAGGATGTAGAACAATCCCACTAGGGTTAGTGTAAACTCCATGGATATGTAACACACTCAATCTTCTTTTCTCCTGTGCCCACTCAAGTACCTATCACAAAAAGAAACACGAAACAGATAGACTAGCTCACTTAGCTGTCAAAATACATACAGCAAGATAACTGAAAGTTGCTATACCCAGTATGTGTTTAATGAGATTAAGTGAAGTTTTCTGCCTCGTTCATTTCAATTAATTACATTAGGAAACTCTCAAGAAATATAATTAATATTCTTATTTGTTTCAAATGTTTATCTTACTCAGCTGTCAGCTAATTGTAACATTAATTTTCACTTTATCCATTATCTTCTATTTATACTTTTCACTTTGATAGCATCCAGCCAAGTGTAAATATGTTTATGTACACCTTACGTGCTAAACAACTGTTTAAACTTAAAGCTTTAGAAAGCACTCACACACTGATCCACTGAATATAGTAAACAACAATTTAGTGCTGCGAAGAACTTCATCCGAGGCTTATCCTCTGCCTTTTCAGCTTCCAGAGGCCAAACAAGTGTAGGGTTTTTTAAAATAGTGTAGGAATGAGCATAAAATGACTAAGAATATTAATTCTCACTTAACAGGAAATACTTATTGCAGATAGTAATCAAGGAGACAAACTTTCAGACACAATTGTGCATCATCATTCCCTGCAGTCTGAACCAATAGTGCAATGAACAATATTTAAAATTAAAACAGGAATTGCCCGGAATACACAGCAGGTGTGCGGGCATTCCAACAGAAAGAAAACAAATTAAGATTTGGGTGGATGCCAATTATCAGAAATAAAAACAGGAAAGGTGACAGACAGCCTTTACAGACATGACTAAAAATCAAGGACAAAAACAAAATTAAACAAAAAACAGCTACAGAACAAAAAAGGCTATTTTCATTTCCACCTGGAAGACACAGGAAAAAAAAGTTAACCAGACCAAGACCTGCTGTAACTGCAGAACGGTCTATCCCATTGTGACCAATTTCCGATTTTTATTTTGTTTCTTTTCCCTCTAGTTTCTCTTCATACTTCTCCACAGTCATGCCGAAGTTGGCAATTTCCTAACTCCCAGAAAGGTGCTCAACTTCCCAACTCAGATCGTATGTGGGTGGATAGTGCAAGGAGAGGAATTTATATTCTAGTACAGTACAAAATGAGGACATTTGGTTCTTTCAGAGAGCAATCCAGTTTAGTCTCACTCGATCCCCAAATCCCTGCAATCAGTGTCCTTCAAATATTCATCCAATTGCCTTTTGAAGGCTACTATTGAATCTGCATTGGACAAGACATATCAAATCTTAATCACTTATTGTGTGAAAATTAATTAATTAATGAAAATTAATTTCCTCATGTCATCTCTAATTCTTGGTCCAATTACCTTAAGTCTTTGCCTCCAATAATCAATCCTTCAGCCATTGCAAATTATTTCTCTTTATTTATCTGAACTCAAGACTTTCCACACACTCAAATCTACTCCTGTTCTTCCTTGCTATAAGAAGAACTGCCCAGTTTCTCCAGTCTCCTTCATTCCTGGAAGCATTATGCTAAATCTATCCATATATAATCTTTCCTAAATATTTCCTAAACAAGGAAGCTTACTATTGGCCATACTCTTTCTGCTGGGCCAGAAATGTTTTTTTCCTTTTATGCACATACGTTTTACTTATTAGAATTTAGATGTGCCATGTTTTAAAAAAAGATATAGGGAATTCTCACTTACATTCTAGTTAAATACGAACGTATGAATCAGGAGGAGTAGACTATTCAGTCCCTTCAACCTGTTCCATCACTCAGTAAGATTATGGCTAATTGGGCTGTAATCTTAAATCTGCATTCCTGCCTAACTCAAATGACCTTTCACCCCCACATGACCTGAAAAATATTCAGGGACTCTGCTTTCACACCTTTTCAGGAAGACAGTTCCAAAGACGCTCTCAACCCTCAGAGTACTTTTTGTTTTGCATAATTTCTTTTTGACTGAGTACCCTGATCTTTTAAACAGTAACCGTATAGTTCCAAAGGCTCCCTTAAGAGAAAACATCTTCTCTACAACTACCCTGTCAAGACTCCTCAGGGTCTTATGTTTCAATCAAAGCACCTGTTACTCTAAGCACTTCTGAAGGTTGTAGGGCAAAATTTCATTTCTGTGCATCCCATTCACAGGTTCTGCCATGTGTACATACCCTAGCTCCAACAGCTCAAACATCTCTGACCAAAGCCATGGTGAGCTGATGTAAGTTGTCACTAGTTTGTAATCCAGGAAGCATCTCATCCTATTTACCTTTTTTTCATCCGTGAGGTCTAAGGACTCTAACTGCGTTCCTTGGTGAGCTCCATAGATTTCAACAAGATTGTCAAAGTTGGTGGTTAAAACCAGGGTTCCATTCTCCATCAATTTCAGGACTGATTGCAAAAGATGCTTCCCAACATTGTCCATTTTGGATTCAAGGTCATCGAAAACCTCATATAAGCAATCTTTGAAGAATGTTGACCGAACGTTACTGGTGCGCTGTGGGATTTGAACTGGACCATTAGATACAATCATACAACACAAAACAAGCACAGGGGTTGCAGCAAAACCTCCAATTCTCAACAGGACTTGCAAAACATTGTCTGAAAACAAAAATCCTATTACCCATTTAAAGGAAAATATTAAATATTCATGTGAGGCCGAAAACAAGAAATGGGACACATGTATGAGAGACTGCCCAAGATCATAATAGATAAAGAGATTGATAATTCTTTAAAATTGTTGATTTAAAGGCAAACTGTGTACTCCCACAGTAATGCTCATTATACTATTTTGTAGAATTTCTTTTAAATTCTGAGAAAAATCAATCTCTCACCCCTAATTAAATCAAAAGCAGCTTTTTACAATTCCTATCTGTGATGAGAACTACTATTTTCCCAAATCCCAGTAGCTTTTTGCATATGGGGTTCTAGTATCTTGCACTGTGTGGAAAATTCAACTTCTGCTGAGGTAGCTTAACGGGGAGTTGCCATGAAAATACAGCAACTAAAACCTTAATCATTTTAAATCAAATCAGATGTAGTACCGACTGAACATCAGCTCCCAATCTGCTTTCAAGAGTGAATAAAATGCCACTCTTGGTATAGTCACTTCATCAGCTCATCACAGCTTCCAAAAAGCAAAAACACTTTATGCTGAGAACTAGCTCCGAGGATGAGTAAATCAGATAGTCTTCAAACAGAGGACCAAGACCTGGCAGTGGATGGCAATTAGCAAGTACCAGGTTTTTTTTTTTAAGCCCTATTAGGGAAAAGTCTTAAGAGCATTTCTAGTAAGTTTAATTAGTCACGTAAGAAACAGAAAACTGCAGGGCAATCCCGTTCAATACACATTCTGCATCATGTCGGACCTTCAGGATTTCTCCTGTATCCTGGATAATCTGGGGTGCTAGAAGCATTATTACTTAGAGTGGCTGGAAATCCGGGATTTACAGCTTAAGCAGCAACAGGGATCACGACAGTGCATCCAATAGGTTGAGAAATTTGTGAACTGCATGTTCCAGAAAGTGAATGCTCTGCAATATGCCAGGCAGTCAGGGAGGATGTATGGACTGAGTGGATGAACAGAAAAGGAGCAACCTCGCTATAAATACTTGGGCGGGTTTACTGCAGGTCAATAGTCAGAGATAGATGGAAGACCAAACGTGCAGACAAATTGCCAAGTGCAGAAACAGTGATATTAATAGTTGTGTATGTGCTTGGAAGCTTGCTGGTCCTTGCTAAGGCATACACAAATTTACACCTGAAGTACAAATAATAAAGGAACAAAGAATATAGTTTTAAAAAAAGTTAATTTACAAACAGAAATACACACAGCTGAATCACTTGGTATATAAAAAATAACGTAAGATAAGTGGATTGAAATGCTGTCCAATTCGCAGGCAAAAATCATTTGGCAGGAAACATCTATCACCCCAGATAAATGACCTGTTTACACAAGATTTGGTATTCTTTTTCAAAAAAAGCAGCTGCAGATGCATTTGAGTTAATTAGGGGTGAGAGATTGATTTTTCTCAGAATTTTAAAAAAATTCTACAAATTAGTACAATGAGCATTACTGTGGGAGTACACAGTTTGCCTTTAAATCAACTTATTGAGACACGATAAGTCTCAGGTAAAGATCAATCCTAATGATGCCCCAAGACATTAAATCATGGGGCAATGGGACATGTGATTCTTCAAAAAGTTAGCTCATAATTCCACTTGGCACACTGTGCAGGTTCCAAGTATAGAGAAGGCATTTTCCGACAAGGATGGCAAAGATGGTCTATTGGATTTAATAAAATCCATTCAGATACTGCATACTTCCAAACAAACAGCAAGAACAAGAGGAAGGTTCAGTGTTGAGTGATAGTTCTATCAGCCAAACCTACTTGGTCATTGCCTATATAAAGATCTAAATACACAGTTTACCAAGGAACAGGGCAAGGGAGAATGAGCCACAATTTAGACCATTAGCAGCATGACTAAAGTGAATTAAGATCACTTACAAGGCTATGAATTAGCTCTCCATCAAGTTGTATCTAAATTTGTGCACAGTAAGTCATGAAACAAATGAAAATGCATTCAACCAATAACATTAGAACAGTGGACAAAAATCTGATTGGGACTGACATCAGTGTTAGTATTGCAGCAAAGACATTGCTGCCACTGACAATTACAGTTGCTGCACCAAAACTGAAAGAGATCATATGGACGTTGGAATTAAATTAGCAACAACTCTGGGTATACCAGTACTCAGTGACAATGATTGCAAATGGCTGCTTTTAAGTAGATGAACTAGAGCACAAATGAGTCTTGAAATCACAGAGCCAGATATGAGTTGCACTTTAAAATTTCATTCCTAGAAATAGAAAACAATTCTGTGCATACTCTCCTTTTACTGAGATTACCTGCACAGAAGTGTTTACATAGCTGATCTATAGGGAAAAGAAACAATAAAAGCTGGATCTCCGATAATTTGAAACTATAATGGTTGTCATGGATTATAGTTCAGCAAATTTGCTAATCACAAAGTACTAAGAATTCACTTACTGGTGAAAGTTTCTGTATCAAGTCATGTGCAACATGCACAAGATTCTTATCTTCTTGGAGGGATTTTTGGAATCTTTTGTTCTCCTCCTCCTCGAGGAGGTCAAAGTCATTAGCAGCATCCAGCAAAGCTTGAATTAGTCCTGTCCAGGATTTGAGTGCGGGGACCTGTGGTGCTACAGCAGCACTCACGCCCGTTCCAATCACCAACACCAAGTCCTGGGGTCTCTTTGTCTTCAGACTGGGTAAAAGTTTCCTGTTGGATCAATTGTTTTCATGTTAATTTTAAAATGTTTACCATTATAAATAACTGCAACTGATAATAAAGATAACAATGAATTTTTACATTCAACAAAACAGCAAAATGGAACATAAACAGAATATTGCAGGTGTTGAAAACAAAACAAAGGATAGAAATGCCTATTAAGTCAGGAAACTCATAGGGGCAGGGGAAAAAAGCACGAGATAGCGTGCATGAGAGAGAAAGCTGGTTTTTCAAGTTGATGATCTTTCATCAGAACTGGAAGAAGTTAGAGATTTACAAGTTTTGAAGCAAGTATGGAGTCAGACAAAGTCCAATAGGCTAGAAGCAAGGAGTGATAAAAAGATATGATAAAAGGAGATCAGTGCAGTACAAAAGGGATTGATAATGGGATAAGGAACAAAAGATATATCCAGAAGAGGTGCAAGTATGGGCAGTTAATCATTACTAGAGAGGAATTTGGAGTGGGAGAGGACGGATTCAGTTGTTGTGCTCTGCAAAAGGTACCAAGATATAGGCAGGACTAGGAAAGAGCTTCTGCTGAAGGATAATAAATAGCTCAAGGCTAAATTGAAAGCCAGATAAAGATAATAATCTTTGGATTACTACCCGAGCCACGTGCAAATTAGTGCAGGGTAAATAAGATTAAAAGGAGGTAAATGCATAGCTCAAAAGATTAGTGTGGAAGAAATTGGTTCTGATTTATACAGCACTGGCACAGTACTATGGAAAGAGAGGGTTGCTCCATTGGGAAGGGCTCCATTTGAGTCAAGCAAGGACCAGTGTCCTCACTAAATCACGTAACTACGCTTGTGGATAGGACGGAAGAGTCAACTGATGGGAAATTTTTAAAAAACAAGAAGAAGCAAAACAGCAGAGGTGCAGGGAAGTAAAGAGGCATATGATAAAGTGTGAGACAGTAGGAACTGCAGATGCTGGAGAATCCGAGACAACAAGGTGCAGGGCTAGATGAACACAGCAGGCCAAGCAGCATCATCTGATGAAGGATCTAGGCCCGAAACGTCAGCCTCTCTGCTCCTATGATGCTGCTTGGCCTGCTGTGTTCATCCAGCCCTGCACCTTGTTGTCTCATATGATAAAGTGTGACCGGATAGGACAAAAAAAAATGCAGCAGAAATTAGACCAGGATGAGGAATACTGATAAAAAGTTAAAGCTTAAAGTTCTTTGTCTGAATGTATATAGCACTTGTAACAAGACTGATGAATTGATAGCACAAATAGAAATAAGTAAATCTGAACTGATAGCTATTATAAAGACAAGGTTGTAGAGTGACCAGGACTAGGAACTCAATACTCAACAGTATTCTAAGTTTCCAAAAAAAAGACAAAAAGAGAAAAGGAAGTGGGGTAGCATTGTTAATAAAAGATGGTATCTATGCAGTGGTGACTAGTGATGTAGGTGCAAAAGATCATCATATGGAATTCATTTGGATGAAAATGAAGAATAGCAAACAAAAGGAATCCTGAATGGGAGTCCTCTCGAGACTCCGAAAGTGTTGCCTCACTGCAGAACAAAATATATATCTGCAAATAATAGGAGTGCAAGAAGGGCACAATAATTGTCATTGTTATTTTAATATGCATACTGACTGGACAAATCAGATGCTCACGGCAACATGCAAGACAAATCTGCAGACTGTTTCTTAGAGCAGTGCATTACACAAGCTAGTTGGCAATAGGTTAATTTAGACCTCGTCATTTGTAATGAGGTAGAATTCATAAGGATCCTCTTGAGGGTAGCAATCTCATGGTAGTAGAATTTTAAATTCATTTTAGGGGAGAATACCTCTGGTGCAAAACCAGTTTCTTCAACTTAAGTAACAGCAATTAAAGAGGAATGAAGGAAGAAGTGTCTAAAGCAGGTTGGGAAAATAAACTAAGGGAAAGGTCAATAGATGAGCAGCACCAGACATTAATGTAGATATTTCATAATGTTCAGCAAAAATTTATTCTATTCGAAAAGCAGGACTCAATGAGAAGGATGAATCACCTGTGATTGACAAAGAAAATCAAGGAGAGTGTCCATTGAAACACTAAGACTACAAAATGGTGAAAGCTAGTGGTAGGCCAGATTGTGAATGTGTGTTTAGGAACCAGCAGCAAATAGTTAAGAAACTAAATAATAAAAAAAGGGCGAACATTGGTTATGAAAGAAGTATAAAAATAAAGAGAAGAGGAAGAGCTTCTGTATGTATATAGAGAGACTAGCTTAAGCGAGTGCAAAACTCTTGGAGAATGTGACTGGGGAACTGACCACAGGGAACAGGGAAATGGCAAATAATTCAAACCAATATTTTGCATCAGTTTTCATGGTGGAGGACACTATAAGCACACCACAGACATCAGGTAAATAAGGTGTTAATGACAGCAAAGTTCTTATACCAGTCTCTATCACAAGGGACAAAGTATTTGACAAGCTAATGGGACTGAAGGCAGACAAGTCACCAGAACCTGACAGTAAGCATCCAAAGGGCTTTAAAGTAAGTGGCTGCAGAGATAATGGAGGCATTGGTCAAAACATTCTAGAACTCAGGATTCTAGGAGGATCCCAATGGATTGGAAAACTGCTAATGTGACAACATCACTTTTTAAAAGAAGGGAGGGACAGTAAGCAGGAAACTATAGGCCAGTTAGCCCAGCATCTGCTATTGGGAATGCTAGAGTCCATTATTAAGGAAGAACTAGCAAGACATTAAGAAAAGCTTTCCGCAATCACACACAGTTAAGTTTTGTGAAAGGGAAATCATGCTTGATAAATTTGCTTTGAGGGTATAACAACCAGAGGTAATAAAGGGGAACTAATTTATATACTGCCTTTGGATTTACAGATGGCAGTCAGTAGTGTCACACAGAAGTCTATTGCACAAAATCACAGCTCATGGTACTGGAGATACTGTACTGGCATGGTTTGAGGTTTGGTTAACACACAGAGAACAAGAGTTTGGATCTGGGTATTCCTGTATATGAAACACAAAACGTTTAGCATGCAAGTAATTAAGATGATAAATGAAATTTTGGCCTTAATAACTAGGAGGTTGGAGTTTAAAAAAAAAAATGGGGATTTCACATAGCAATGAAACAGGGGTTTTGGTGAGACCACACCTGAAGTACAGCCTATAGTTCTGGTCCCTGTATTTAAGAAAGGATGTACTGGCATTGGAAGCAATTCAAAACAAGTTTACTATGCTGACTCCTGGAATGAAGAGGGTGGCTTATCAAGAACGGCTCAACGGACCTTAATTCCTTTAAGTTCAGAAAAATGAGGTGTGATCTTATTGAAACATACAAGATTCTGTGTGTGCTTAATAGTAGATGTTGAGAAAATTTTTTCCATTAATGGGGGAATCTCAAACTAGGAGTTCATAGTTACACAATAAGGAGACATTCGTTTAAAACAGATATAAAAGAAATTTCTTCTGAGTGTAAGTGAATGTCTGGACTTCTCTATCGTAGACAGCTGTGGTGGTTAGATCACTGGAAGTATTTAAAACAAAAGAGGTAGATATATTTTTGAAATATCGAGAAGCTGAGGACTATGAGGAAGTGGCTTCAAAGATGAGTTAAGGCCTGGGGCAGATCGATGATCATCTTACAGAATGGCAAGGCAGGCCTGATGGGCTCAATGGCTGATTCCTGCTCCTATTTCTTATGCTTGTATGCAGTAACAACATACATCTTGCTGCCAAATTCATTTTTTGTTAAATCCAAAGAGAATTCAGATCCAATACCTATGACCTCATAGTAATTCTTGTTAATAAACTAATTTGATTTGTTTTAGAATGTACAAAAATATGAAGTTAATGAATCTCATTACAGGAGATTCAGAAACACAATGTTGCAATTATTTGGCAACTAACTCAAAAACTTGATGTTTCCTGGACATGTCTTATATTCTAACTACAGAGATATTCTCCTTGGATTCAAGACTTTCGGACCAGATTTGCGTTCAATGTCAAAATTGTTACTTTGATTGTTGCAGTGTGTGTACAGCAAGTAAAGCCATCAGCATCTATACATTACACATTTATAGATAAAGAAATAACCAACAATATTAATAATCGGTTAACATGAACTCTTTTGGGAACTGGCATTACAGGATGAAAATAAGTCAGATCTTGTTTGCTAAAGCCATTTTGTTATCCTGCTGTTCAAACATCACAATTTCACAATCCAAAAGCTTGTCAAACTAGCTAGCTAACTGTTCTTTTAAAAGCTAAGAGTTATGAGAATGACTTTTACTTCTCTAGTTCAGACATAATGGCCCCTGATTTTCACTCCCTTGTCAGGGAGAGTCAGAAAAAGTTCGGGTCCACAAAGTTGACCTTTAAAAGGGCCATCTGCAATTCTAATTTTTGGTCAAGGCGGCCAAGAGTGCTCTTCCAGGGTCATCTGACCCAACTTCTAAGTGGCTGCCAGCTCCTGAGGTAAGCTGGGTGGAAAGCTTCCACAGGGATCCATCACCAGATTTATAGTTTAGAAAATAAGGAATATAACACAAAACATCTCTCCTGCTCATCCCTCACTCACCATGCCCATCTACCCATTCCCTATGTTCCTTCACACCCCTTTACTACCCTATGCTCAAAATTCACCCATGAGTCACTCATACCACATGCCACCACATGACCTTCTACCCACACCCATGGCCCCCTCATTCCCCTATCTAATCTATTCCCATCCATCCATCATCAGACACACTCCATTCCACTTTATTCCAAACTACTCAATCATCCCATGTCCCATTGTCCCTCATAACCCTTACGGGTCTCCTCCAATCACTAGCACTGCCCTTTACAGCCTCTGTGCTGACAGATTCCACCAGCACATTTTTCTCTTCCCTCCCCATGGCAACTTACCTATTACCCAGCATTAAAAAAATACAGCTTTGAAACATACTCACATTGAGGTTTTACCACCAATTTGTAGCTCAGGTTGTGGGTGAGGGTTGATGACTTACTCACCGAGCTGGCTTG